GATGCCACCCACTATGGCAATATTTGCTCCAACTTTTTCTCATTTTTTCTGCTAATAGGGTGACCTGTCAGCCTCCTTTAGGAGCAGTGGGGCCCAGGGCCAGCCATCCCAGTTCCAAGGCACAGCCCCGCTAAGGATAGGCAATCCAGGGAAGGACCAGCAGACACTTGGCCCCCATTCCCAGCCGGTCTCAGTCAGATGACTAAAGACGCTCATCAGGTAAAGAACAGTGCTGCAGTTAGGATCATTTATGAGGACTAGGAAAGGATGTGGGGGCAGGCGGGGTGGGAAGAACTTTCCTGAGAGGGCCAGGGGACAGGGTGGGATGGCAGAGCTGCCTCGCTAAGAGGGCATTGGGACCCAAAGCTCTTCAGCAAAGGAGAACTGGGACACAAACGTCTCTTTGCAGGAAAAGGTTGAGCCTGGGTTGGTCAAAGCAGCTGTCTGTTAAGAGGCCTGAATAAATTAGGCCCCCAAAAGGGGGAATGTTAATTTTAAACACTCGTGGCGGTGAGTTATTTTATTGGGGAATCTCAGCCAGGAGGGAAAGTGAGGCAGGGGGATTGCAATGCCATGCCACAAGGGGGAGTGTTCTAGGACTGCACCCTACAACTTCCCCTTTTTATAACAGTGACAAGTGGGGTGTGGCTCAACCACCTCTATTCCCACCTGGATTTAAAGCACTAAGTATAGTGTTGCATGTACAGTACAGATAGTGCTGAGGAACTGGAAGTCCCTGTCCTTGGAGGGATCACTTAGCAAATTACCCTGGGGTTTTCCATCCCAAACTAGTAGGAAGAAAGAATCCAACAGCTGGCCCAAGGCCTGGTATATTACTCAATGTTGACTTTGAAAGTAAACAGTGACAGCAGAACAAATCTCCCAGTTGTGTTTTTCAATCAAGTTTTGAAAACCTTTGAAAGTGGATTCAGCACTCATTAAAGGTACAAGGTTGAGAGTGCTGGAAAATGAAGCCCTCTAATTAGCCCCAAGATTGACATACTTTGGACAGAGGCTGTGCAAACTTCGCCACTCTGCCTGACTAATCTGTCTTCATCCTACTTGGGAAGGACCCCATCTCAAAAGGTAAGAGGAGCAAATCATTCAATTCTCAGTCTCTGTGGAGAATGCCAACAAAGGGACCAATTGTGTTGTGGAAGCACACCCCCTGGAACTGGACCAAGACCACCAACACACTTCTAATGAATAATCCCCTTTGGTAAATCCCTTTCCTTTCCATTGAAATCTATCTGGGCCCAAGTCCCTGGGTTCTTTCCTTCAAATCCCTCTTCAACACTCATTTCTTCTAAAATGCTTCTTTACCATTAATCTGCATGTTCTACCTTATATACAGTATTAAAATTCTAAAGAAATAATACACAGCCACATTTTCTGTGAAAAAGAGTAGTTTAGTGGTTAGAACATGGGACCAGGATTCCTGGGTTCTATTCCTGGCTGTACCACTGGCTCGCTATGTGAACTTGAGCAATTCACCTTACTATGCCTCAGTTTTCTCCATCAGTAAAACAGAGATAATGCCTATCTAATGGGCATCTTGCAAGGCCTAGTGAGATTCATAGTGAGATCTACAGAAGTGCAAAGTAGTTTTGCCAAGCAAGCTATTCTTCAGCGGGGTTTTATCACGGAAAAATCTTTTGATTAAGTATGTGTAGCTCTGAAGAATGATTGCACAAACTTTACTCAAATGAGAAGTGCTCTTCTTGTCTACCAATTTACTGTTCTGTGCAGCTGAGAGAGACACACTTGAAAGTAAACGAAACTTTGAAAATCCTCAACCACAGTGTCACCACAAACAGGCACTGTAATGCATATTGTATGTTGGAAGTTACACTGCAAATAAACTTTGTTTTCCTGGAAATATTATCACACCAACCCGGTGTGACCATCTATCCCGAGCAACCTAGCACAGACATGAATCACTCCTACATTGTGTCTATTAGGCTACTTAAATGAAAGCCTGCCAATTAGTGTTCATGTAGAACCCACACTGCTCCAAAATTAGTGTCCAAGGAGTGCAAGAACTAGGGCTTCATCTATTTACTCTTATCCATCCTTAGTGGAAATAATGAAAACTTAACGAAGGCAAGTCAGGCACTGCTCTTTACCTTACTCTAAATTCAAGAACAAGGAAACATCCAATGCAATAGAAATGCAACAAATTTAAATTGATAAAAGGAAATATGCTTTCACAAATATAACTTGTGGAATTCATTGTCACAAGGTATTAAGGCCAAGAGCAGAGTAGGATTTTAAAATGACTTGATATTTAGATGACTAATGAGGACATCAATGTACATAGTATTTTAAAAATCAGGACATGTATCCCACATTCTTCAGGATATGTGCCATCCACAAACTAAAAGGGTTAAGAAGAAACTTTACTTTTTATCAGCCAGCCAGGGAAAGCAACTGCTCAGATAAACAGCCTAGGAATGGGAGAGTCTGAATCATTCTTTAAAAGTTGGCAACGCATAGTTCTACTGTGAAATACACTCTCCAAAGTACTGTGCAATTGAACACATTCCACCATTTTCTGTATTCAGCTGACAGCTGGAAACCTGCACAGGATGCCAAATGTATGTGACCTACATTAGTAGCTCAAAGGCATTTGCTGGAATGAAATCTAAGATATTGAATCTTTTAGCCTGGATTTCTTTGAGAGTATTATGTACAGGATAATGGTGAAACAGATGCACTACTTTTCAGCTTCCTGGCATTTAAAAGCTTGTTAATCTGTTTCTCACTTCCCTCCCTTCCCCCCCAAAAACAGCACAGCTCTTTTTTGTGCCAAAATATTAACCTGTTAACAGTATAAATATATATTTCTACAATGCTAGCATTAAATAAAACACTCTCAGTCATGTCTGTGTCTTGGTGTAAACATATCCCAATTGGTTCATGTTAAATTACTTTACTTCTTGTACTGCAGTGATGTATACTTGCAGTCAACGAATCAATTTTTATTAGTCTTTCCATGTTTATGGAGTCTCTTAATTTTTTTTATATGGATGATTCATTTCTGCAGCATATATAGAACTGAATCGATCATTGTGGGACACATCTGTTTTGTTTAGTAGTATCAAATGGTTTTATTTTAAGGCTGGGGTGTCCCCCTAAAACTCTGAGGTAGCTACCACACTACGATAAGGGATATTCAGAATGACTTAAATGAAAACCCTGCCTGGTCCGGGCTGTCCTGCCCTGTGGCGGTGTCCAGGGTCAGGGCTGCTGATCGGCCCTGTGCCAGGGGTCCATTCCTGGTCCCACTCTGGAAGGGTCTGTCGGCAGGGGCCGGGGCATTGGGCATAGGGATCTATGGGGGCACTGGGGTTCTCAACCTGTGACCTAGGTAAGACATTGTGGGCTGCATAGCGGCCAACAGTGATAAATAGGTTGAGAACCACTGTCCTAGAGAGCCTGTTATGATTTTGTTTGATACGTAACCATTTGTTTCTGATATTCTTACTATCATTTGAACCTCTGTTCTTTGATAATGAACTTATTCTTCTTTTCACTATAAATCTATCTAAGGGCTGTGTGTTATGCAGAGTGGTGATCCTGCATTAAAACTAGCAAGCTGGTGTGTCTTCTTCCTTTGGGAGTAATAAATCTGGCAGTTCTGGGGGGGATGCACAGAGGACTTGGGAGTTGGTGCATGCCTATACTAACCCATACAGACAGAGTGAGGCCTGCAAAGGCCTGAAAGGCAGCGCTTGTTTTGCCAAAGGCTGATGGTTTCAGGGAGTTGATCCACAGCTGGCACAGATGAGACTTCCTCACTTTAAAGGCAAGTGGCAGTCAGGTGATTCACCACCCTGGGTATCCCTGGGAAGCATCACAGTTTCCTATATCACTTATGGGGAAAGGAAGCTCACTGAAGACTTCAAAATATGAGGTTTACAATCTAGGCTAGGCCACTAAAGACATTTTCTAACATTCACAGCCCTTTCTCTTCACTGGAATTGCAACCAGTTCCAGTGGTAGAAGATATGCAGACGATTCATCCTTTGCATGTATTTGGGGATTTGTCTCAAGCTTTTCTCTTGTGTCTCAGTACCCTCAGACTTTGCATCTGGTTGTGGATCTGAACTTTGCAGCTGGCCCCATAATGGAATGAGAAGATGAGCTAGCCAACTCCTCAAGTCCTCACTCAGATTTTCCTCAGTCCTCACCCTGGCCCCAATTCAGTGAATAACATAATCCCATGCCTAACTCTAAGCATTTATTTTATTTGAACTACTCACCTGCTTAAAGTTAGGCATGTGCTTACGTACTTCACTCTTACCAAAGATAGGAAACTACGTCTGGGCTGCAGGGATGCACATATCCCTGCTTTCGATCCCCAAATGGGAATTCCTCTCTTGGAGTCAGGCAGCTTAGGTGCCTACACTGTTTCCTGCAGGAATAAGTTAGGTGCCTGTCTCCAGCCACACAAAAATGGTTAGAGGAGGAGGAAGAGGTGCCCACCTTATTACTTTTAGCCCAGTGGTTACAGCATTTACCAAAGATGTGAGAGACCCAGTTTCAAAAACACCCTCTCTGCCAGAGAGGAAGGCATCCAGATGCCTAGAGGGAGGTAGCAATGCGTATCCTCAAAGGCAGAAATGTAGGAGCTGAAGGAACTTTTACCCTGAAAACTTAGGTGCTGAGTGAATTTAGGCGCCTACAGGGTTCAGCGGGAGTTTGTGAATCACAGTGGAGCCAAAACTGGGACTTACGTACCTAAATTCAGGACTTGGGTGCCTAAATCTGGGGTTTAGGCACTTAAGTACCTTTGTGGATCCTACCCTAAATACTTAACAGTTAAAAGTAGTTAATGGGGAGGAGTCAAAATTAGTTTTATCATGGAAGCTATTGAGTCACAACAGTGACTCTCTGAAATACAGCTATGTGTGAAAATACTTAGTAACTGTTTTGTTTCTCAAAACTCCATACATAAAGTTGTTTTCCAGCTGTCATAATCATCATGAAGAGACATGCACAGTTAAAACTGTTGTTTATTTCTACAGAGCTACAGAAGGTGAATTTGGCCCATTATATATACATTATATTTTACAGAGATAACATTTGCTGCTAGAAGAAAAAAATTATAATTAGAGCTGATAAAAAAAATGAGACCACATTTCACATAAATATTTGCAAAAATTTTCCTTTTTATTGTCAACATTTTGAGAAAATTTTTCATTGAAAGTTCAAAATTCAGAAAATTTTAATCGGTCCCATAGCTGGTTAAAAAACATATTTGTACAAAAATCATCCTGTTTTTCCAATCATCTCTCAAAAGTTTGATGAAAAATTTCACTGAAAAATCAAAAATTTGGAGAAGTTTGACCAGCCCTAATAATAAAAATACATATTTGGATTTACAAAATGTGCTCCCACCCCATTACATAATTGTGTGAATGATCAAAAATGAATGATCAAAAGCAATCAGCTTCCATTGACTTGATGATGTTTGAGAATTTAGTCAGGGGATTGTTTTCCTTGAGAAGCTGCTACCAGAAAATGAAGCAAGTCAGTTGATTCCAAAATTACTCAAACCAAAACTATTCATCTCATGCCATAGACGTGCAAATCACATTACAGAAAATATATAGACAGATTTCCTACCCCAAAATGCTTAAAGTCTAAGTGATACAAGTAGAACAGGAAACAGGATGACAGCATCTGGGAGGAGAGTTATGCTGGCAGTGTTGTCACTTCGAAGGCTAACCTTTGCATCTTGATATTACAGTGCAATATCTCCCTTTTCCATTGCCTTAGTTTTATGCCACTGATTAATTTGTGTTCTTTCTTTTTATTTACATGTAAAATAGAGTATAGGATTTTGTGAAAGTTTTGTATAAAACTTGAATTATGAAGTCATTGGAATTAGGGGGTTGTAATAGAAATACTGATAGAAACTGAACTGGAGCGATGTTGATGAACACAACTAACACAGCTCTCTTTTCTTATTAAGTACTAAGGTTATTCTTAATGACAAAGTATTAGCAGGACTATTCTGATTAGTATTCTGTGTAGACTGCCCTATCTCTGTAGTCAATTAAATCTGATTATTGCAATTGTTACAGGTGGAGTAGTAGCAACACTTTTATTAAGGTTGCATTATAATTTCATTTTTCCTAACTTTTGAGAGCTTGACTTTGCAATGTGGTCGCAAAGTGATTTTAACACAATTGGGTTTTTTGAATGGAAGTTAATACTATTGTCCATTCTTACAATTTTATTGGGATCCTTGCAATATTTGGCATTTTCCTTAAAGTTCCAGCACCTAAACTAGATGAGAAACTCAGTTTTGAGCGATTAAAAAAAAATCAACTTTCTATTTCTGATGGTTGCAGAGAAAAGCTTGAAAATGTTACCCAAATGTACCTTAAAGACTCACAAATGAGAAGGCAAATTAAAAAGAAACAAGATTGGCTTAAAAATTATGAGTTTTGGGTTTTTTTAATTTTGTGGTTTTGGTGGGCCTTTGGCATTGGCAGTACTGAATACATAGGTCTGAAATGATGGCGGCATTAAAATATTTTGCTCTACTGTGCCTATGCTTCAGACATGAAAGCTGAGTGACACACGATTTCTCGTTTGCAGTTTTCAGCAGTTTTCAGCAAATGGGAAATATCTTTCGTTTCTGGCAGTTCGTGGTAAAGTAGAGGAAAAGACTGCCAGGGCTGAGATTTTGTAACTGGAAAGAACATTAAACTGATGTGGGTTGCTTTCATTAAAACCTGGGGATAAGGACAAGCTGCTGAAAGCAACTCTTCATTTGATTTAAATAACTTTGATTTTTAAAGATATGTTGTTTGTTTCCAGTAAATTCTCTCTTTAAAGGAACTCTTTTTTTCAATGAATACATTTCTAAATGGGCCCAAAAACATTCCTACTATATTGAAGTTGCACTTTATGGTTAGAAAAATGGGGAAATCATATTAGGAAAGTACTTTAAACACATATTAAGTTATTTGGTTCCTGGGCTTCTAAGGAACAGCCAAACATGATATGTTAGTTTCCCTTCTTAGAACCTGGACTACCCTGCAGTTATAACTCTTTTTATTTGAATACTAGATGCACACAGAGATTAGCATTAGCTTGAAGAGTTGACTTCCTCTCCCCATTATTTATTCTTTTTCAACAGCCAGAATGATTCAGTAGGAAGCTCTGGTCCTCACACTTCTGTATGTCCCTCAACCTGTGTCCCAAGAAACTATGCAAAAGGCAGTGACTCAAAATGGTCACAACTTCTGAGCAGTCAGGAAGCTTTGGACTCTAGAAGTGAAATCCTGCCCTCTTGAAGTCAATGGGAGTTTCACCATTGGTTTCAGTGGGGCCAAGATTTCACCCTAGGAGTAAGGTTATTTCCTTTTTTACAAGCGTGGACACAGATACAATAAATTATCCTCATCTGTTTAATGTACAGTGGGCCAAACCCTGCAGTTCTTACTCAGGAGGTATGATTGCAGCACATGTAGACATGCCTTATTAATCTGAGATCTAGCTAGAGAAAAGCTATCTCAAGTAACAGTAGCAGTGAAGTCAAGGTACCACAGGCTGCAGCTGCTCAAGTATGTATCCATGGTCCTGGACAGGCTGGGGGACTAGAATTTAGCTAGGCCAAAACTAACTTGGGTATGTCTACATGTGCTGCAATCACTCCTCCCAACTGCAGTATATACATTCCCTAAAGTTCATGAGAACTCTGCCTAAATAGAATGAGTAAGATCTCCAGGATTTGGCCCAATATCCATACAGAATATGGCTTTGAACAGAGATGGTTCGTAAAAAGCAAAAACATAGCACAGTTTAGGCTTGTGCATACTCAAACTGTAGCCACCTCACAACAAATACAACACTGCAAAAATTATTCCTGCCTAGTTCCAGTCCCAGCAGTAATATTTTCCTCACTATTCCAAAAGGTTCTGGCTTAAGAACTTGATCCTTCAAGGTGCTGAGCACTCTGGTCCAGAACCATCAAGGCAATTATCACATGCTTAAAGTTAAAAACATACTGAAATGCTTTGCTGGATCAGGGTCAGAATGTCCAGCACTTTGCAGGGCTGATCCCTGTAACATTAAGCACTTGATCCAAGACATCTCCACCAAGCCAGGGACAAAGTTATTTTGGCCATTGATATCAATGGGGCTGGGATTTCACCTTCTTTGTCTTCCTCATGAAAAACTATTTTAGGTAACTTCAAAAAAGAAACCCTGATGACCTCACAAGCCCTGAACTCAAACATATATACTGTGCTCAAATACACTAGTATGGGTAAAAATTAAAAAGATTCAGAATTCTATATGTGAATTAATATTGGCCTTATTACCATGAATACATTCCCCCACTGCTCAGAACTATTTGCCAGTGTATTTAATGCAGTACCATATGTCTGATGTGATGTGAAAACACATCTCAATAATGTCTTAAACAAAAATGAGCCATAATTTTAGGCATAATTGATATCCTCAAGATATGTGCTTTTCACAGTGGCAATGTCTGCAGCAGTGATCATTCTAATTATTGTTAAATCCAAACAGTAAAGAACTGACAGGGAATATAGCTACCAGTGAAAGTTTAATGAACCACGTGTTTCTATAAGGAGGTTTTTACAAATAATCTGTCAGATACACAGGTTGGCAGACAAGAAATTGCCCATCTTTAACACAAAACATTATGTTAATTAGAATGATATTTAATTAGGTAAGAGCATAGGCTATCAGAGAGTATTAAAGGTAATAGATACTTCAAATCATTATTAAGGATGGGTCGAATTCTGAGGTCCTTACTCTGTTTTTATTCAGTCCTCTGCATCAGTGGGAGTTTGCCTGAATAAACAATGAGTAACAAGCGAGTAAGCACCTCAAGATTTGACCCAATAATACCTTAGTACTATTCAGAGCTCTTTATGTTCAGTGGGTGAAATCCTGAAAACAATGGGATGATGGAAGACAAGTAGTTTGATCCATCAATTTCCTCACCCTGATAACACTCACTTTAAGGTTTAAATAACTATACCAGAACAAATCAGTGGAGAACCATGCCCACAGCACTGTTGGATAGAGATCTGACAGATCCAGGGATTTACAATTCGTGCAGAATACCATTGAGAGTGGATCTAGTAGGGGGCTTATCAAATCCCTGCCCCTGATGGAAAAGTAACTTGTGATGTATTATTCCAATCGTGGAAAAAAAACACACAAACATATCCACTAGTCCAGCTGAAGAGGATAAAAACATGATTTTGATAAACTGGGTAGATTTTTCACACCCAAACCATTTGGAAGACTTTTTTTCTTTCAAGATGCAACCACAATGACACATGTGAAGGGTTCTTACAATGCATCACCATCACTGCAAATGAGAGTGGAGAAATATTAAAGAACTAATTAAAAGCATAATCTGCCAAAGTTGATTAGAATGCAAGCTAGGTATAACTGCATGCAGAATCAATTAATGACAGCCAAAGTTACAGTAGTGAGAGAAACAGTCTGAAGTGTTACTATATTTAGATGATAATAAAGATACAGAAGAGCCAAAAAATCCCACAGAATGAAGATAAAAGGTTAAAAGCATGTAGGAAAGACGAAGGAGACAACGAGATGAACAACATTACAAGATTTCAATAACACTGAAGACTTCAATGGGACAACTTGCCTGAATAAGGAGAACAAGGCTTGAAGCTAGGAAGGATACAGTTCTTTTTAGGTGACTGTAGGTTAGAACCTACTTCCACTGACACAAAAACACCAGGCTGCTTCCCCACTGAGAATCGATGCTGTTGTCCACCAGCATTAACTGTTTAACACCAGTGTAGCTCCATGGGGGCAAGCAATGATAGAATCACTAGTGTAGACTCGGGATAAGTGTTTTCACCTACCACCATGTCAACTTTTGTGGGCAGGGAATTTCTATTTAACATGTGTTTGTACAGTGTCTAACACACTGATTCCTGGCTGCAGCCCTTCAGCATTACCAGCAAGCAAATAGTAATAATAAAGAACGCAGTGCTTCTGTTAGGTCTATGCTAGACCAACAATGGGAGAATTGTGAGTATCTCAGTGAGGACAAGGCTCCTTTGAATTCAATGGGAGCTGGACTGAGCTTCTATGATGAGATTAGATGAGCAGATATCTAAACTACCCTGCATATGTTTTGAGAGTTTAAATCACAAGCAGTAGACCTAAATGTTACTTGAATGTCTCTTATTCAGAAATAAATATCTATCAATGGCCTGTTAATTTCACCTCCTAAACTTTTTATATTATTCCTGTGCTATTGTTGTTTGCACTTACCATGCTGCTACTCTCTTGTCCCAGGGCTTGTCACACACTGGCAGCAGCTTCACATATTCATTTCATAGCACAGTACCCACAGCAAGCTTTGTTGTCACAACTGCTCAGTCACTTGGCTAACTGCAGTTATTGGTTTGATAGATTCCAATCAGGGTTTTGATCTCGGCATAATTCTGGAATAGCATTGCTGAGTGTGACAAATGATATCTTACTAAACCCACACCCTCGGAAATTGTCAGCAGAGTGCAGCTTCTATTCCATTAATCACAACATTTTGATAAGGTGATTGTAGCTAATTGGTGGTATTCTTGGAATAAACCCTAGCATTAAGTTTTACTTGACCTTGAATTACCAACCTAGAATTTGATTTTTATTTTGAATCTAGAGTGTACTCCCTAACAGGGCTAGATAAGAAATCTTAACAGAACTTAAAAATATCTGATTTTGGGCTTCTTTCCTTAAGATGCAGCTGATTATTTTACACAGTTTGCTTAAAATTCACAACTGGTTGCCGGCCATTTCATTACAATTCAGTATTCTAGGACTGAAAATCTGATAATTCAGACTGTTGCTTGCAGAAACGCAAGTACACACCAGCATGGCTGCAGAATGTGTACTTCACTCAGTTTACAAATGAAGGGTGTATACAAAGCGTACAGCATGCATACTGTGGCCTTGTAATTCTTATAGGCAAGATGAACACAGAGGAATTCTGATTCAGATTCAAGTACAACTGAACCCACAAAGAGTTCTGGAAATGTCACACTTCCTATTTAACATTTAAACTTCAAGACAGGGTCTTGAGAATACTAATAAAGTCCTCCAGCCTAGCTCTCTGAACTTTGACCCTCATTTCAAGAGCTCCATTAGAAGCAAATTCTTAAAAACAAACAAAAAGAGTAGATGTGGTTTGAGCTGCCAAGTTTGGATCCAGAGCCAAGCTTCCCCAAGCCTCACCTTTAGAGATTATTCTGTTTAAAAAAATAAAAGTTTATTTGCACTATTGCATGATAGTGAAAATAAACTGTAGATGGGTGCAGGGGCAGAAGAGGGAAGACCACTTTCCACCAATATTTAGCAACTATACATAGCATTTACTTGTCCACAACAGATTTTCCTTCCTTTGTTTGAAGATTTTGTTGACACACAAAAGTCAGAAAGAAGGTTCATTATGGCCCCTCCATTCCACATTTTGACAATAAAGAAACTGACATGACAATACATTTTTTTAGTCAGTTCAAGCTGGCATATGTGAGTCGCAGTCGTATAGTACACTACGTTACAGGCACAAGTTTGGTAACGATCAGCCGCCTCCCGCTGCCATGCTGTCAGCTGTGTAGCACTACAGCCAACTTGAATTAAACTCAAAATAGATGTTTAAAAAACAAACACACCTTAAGGATTAGTGTGGAGACAGGCTAAACTGTGCAGAACATAATATCACCCAAGTGGTAATAAATAGCAGGCCTGTGTAATTTGCTGGTGGATGTTAGTCACAGGGAACAACATTTCCTAAATGACTTGAGCAATATTTGTTTACTGTCATGACCAGTAAATGATCCCTAACCTAAAACTATCTGTAAATTCAATGGTGCCACAATGTATGTTAGTGAGTTTACCATGTTTAATAATAAAAAACTTAGCAGTTCTCCTCCCCAGCATGTTACAAACATTAAGTGAATCATGTTTTGTCTACTGCAAATCGATAGTAAAATTTGATAATTTATTTTATTAGGTTGCATGCTAAAGAAGTTCTTTTTGTTTTTTTTATTTCTAGATTTAATCATTAATGTTGAACTGGACAAGGTTTTTTTAATGTTGAACTGGACAACTACAGTTGGCTGCTTTTCAGAGTGTATTGTTTATTGTTACCGAGAAGTGTCATCTTGAAATCTATGCTGTATTTTTTGGTGTTCAAAATAGCTGGTTTTGAGAGAATGGGGTTTCCAAACTTCACTGGGGCCACTGATGGCAATCACGTGTACACAGTTTGCCCCGCTCAAGGAGCACATGAGTACATGAACCACAAAAGGTACTACTCCATTATTATACAGGCCCTTGTGAACCACACAGCCTGATTTATGGACGCCAAAGTGGGCTGCACTGGACAAGTTCATGATTCCAGGGTTTTCCTGCAATTCACTCCCGGTGCTCTGTAGCCTGTCTGTGCCTTTCCATTTGCCATGAACCCTTTTCCCTTTGGTATTGTTTGTTGGCCTTGTCCTGGATGTCCACCATAAGTTCATCATGGAAGCACTTCCTCTTTGATTGCTCCATGACAGTTCGGAATCCCAGGTCCTGCTGGTGTGTGTCTGGGCTGCAGAGGGGGAAGGACCTGAAAGCAGACATCAAATAGTACATTGTTGTCTCAGTACTTTAAAAGAGGTTCAGTGCATCCTCAGAGAAAAGTGCCCGTGGAATCTGATGGTATGATATTTTGCATAATTCAGCTTCATTATATTCTCAGAGGAACACTTCAGTTCCCAGGAGCTCCGTCGACATAGCTGAGTTAAGCAGAGTGAAAAGAGTGCACACACAATGGTAGGTGAAATTTACATACGCTATATGTTTAAAAATTGTAGACCTTTGTAGCCCGAAGGGTGCCATGGTTTACTACTGAAGGTTTCTCAGTCCTTTCAGACATTCCACACTTTGGAGGACATAACAATCCTGGCGGTTCCTGAATGACAAAAGGACATGCTATTCCAAGCTAGCTGTAGCAAGCCAGTCACATATGCCACAGAGGTTTTCAAGCTTATGGTGACTCAGCAACACATCTATGATGCAGTGAGCTGGTGTCCTACAGAGGAAGTCCCAGAAAATATGCCAGGAAGACTCCACAGGGAGGCAAATTTCGGCCAATGCTCGGTCAGTTCCTCCTACCATACCAGGAGCGAATGTGAGCATATCACGCTGAGTTCTCTGTTGCTGCCTCATGGAGCCAAAGTCCTCACAGCCTGGTCAAGGGTCTGAAACTACCTAGAGCTGAGAACCTACCCTCCAAGCTAGTGAGACGAGAGAAGACAAGGATTTCCCACTTCCTATCTTCCAGCAAATTCTCCTGCCTTACACACCTTCCTCCATGACCTGCCCTTGCCTTGCGTCTGCTCCTGATCCATCAGCTAGCTTTCTCACTCAGTGGCTTCCTGCTATCCCTGTTGGGGGCTTCTTCTAGTCCCATAACTTCCCTGCTACATGCTGCTTTCTTCTCCTCCTGTGTCCCCTCTCCTCTTAGTCCCTAGACCCCAGCCTTTCTGATTCCTCACAGTGTCCCCCAATCAGCCTGTCTACCTGAGCACCCCCTACCCTCAGCTACTCATTCCCTCCAAACCTACATGGTCCGAATGCTCCTCTACCTCTACATAGTTGTGTCTGCATAAGCATGTTATGGCCACTGTTTCACACGTACAGCTTCTGTAAGTGTGGGTATTAGGGGGATAATTTCATAGGATGTGAGCCCCCAAACATGTTGGTCTGCAAAGGGTGCCCGCTGTAACTGATCCTGATGCCACCAACTCTCACTCAAATCACATAATTCTTCTTTAAATTTACCTCTCTTGGCTCTTTACTCTCCAAACACATCGTACTGAATCTCAAGTGACAGGATGAGCCAGACAATGTAATTCTGATGCCTTAGCAGCCTTCTCCTGTTCATGCTGTGGGGTTCATACTTACTAATATACTAGATATATACACAGCTGTACATCACATGCTGCGCTACACTTTACCATGATGATCACAACTTCTTTTCACTTTGCCATGCCCGCCGTTAGACACCATCTTTGTGGGCAGCAGCAGCCTACATATCCCTGCACTTGTCTGTTGGCAGTGGCAACATAGGACGCTTGCTGGATTTTGTATAACTTTTCTCCAGCAACTGCTTGCCCTAAGTTTTACTTGATCCTCTATTTGCATGTTGTGCTATAAAGGGCAAAATTAGACCCTTAAAGTGCAATTATCCTCAGAAAATGGCATTCGTGTGTTCCACATTTATTCCTCCCCAGGAGGAAGAGGTGGAGGTTTAAACCAATTTGTTTAAACCAGTGCAAATGTGGGTGTAGGTAAGGCTTAACTCTCAACATCACTCCCTTACTAGTTGCTGTAAGGATGGGTCTCATGAGATCCACAATCCATCCCCTGGCTGTGCCAGACTTCCCATGTGACCTGGAGCAAGTTGCTAATACAGTATAGTAATGTTTCTCTACCTCACAAGGGTGTTCTGAGAATAAATGTATGTATGTTTATGAGGCGCTCAGCTACTATAGTGTAGGGGACCATGGGTATCTCTAAATAGATACAAACAAAATGAAGTTTTGTTCAGTACCTAGCAGGACTGGGCCCTGACTAATCTGAACCACATCACTTCCTTATTTGCTGTAATAGTCATTTATTGACCAAACTTTAGTTTAGCAGCATTTCTTTTGTCCTTGCTTTTGGTCCTTTCCTGTTTTTTCTAGTTATTCGTATTATCTAATCTTTGTCATTTCTTTACTCCTTGACCATCTTGTAATGACAATGAAACGCTGGTCATTGTATCCACTGTTTTCCACTTGATAACAGCTTTTTCTGCCTGTCAACCAACCTCTTTTCAAGCACTCTATCAAAAGCATAACACATCCACTATATCAACAGCATAACCTCAGCTGCCAGATTCCTAATTCCAGGACCCAGATTGCCAGCAAATGTGTCACCTCTGTCTTGAAATATTTATATTGCTTTTCAGACAAGTTTCATGTTAATTTCTAGATTTTCAAAGCAAACTCCAAAACCATGCATAGCTTTGCTATTCTCATTTGCTCCTCATACTCATTTGGCCAGGGTTATTTTACACTCATGATCTTTTCCCTGTAAAGATCAGGTTAGGGTCTGGATGCGAACATAGCTCTCGAGTGCAGTCTCTGATTCAGATGTCCCCTTGCTACATAAGTTTAACTCCCACTAAAGTTAATGAAAGTTAAACTCACATATGCACAAATTCAAGATGAAAATAGACCACTCAGTGATCAGAATCAATATTCAAGAGAGACTGGATGGCTCAGGTGACTAGTAATTGATATGGTGTCTTTCACTTCAAGATCCCTAGTTTGACTCCATTGCAGGTCACTGTAAAGTAAATTGCCATCTCTCAACTGATTGCCAGCCAATGTAAACACAGAAACCACTTTTGTAAATGCCAGCTTTGTTAGCAGTTTCAGAAAAAATGACATGGGAAAGACTGAAGCACCACTTTGTTGCTAAAGCATTCTTCCCAGAACAGGTATAAGGCACATGGACAAAACAGTGTGTGGAAGTATTTTTGCTTCCTTTCTGGTATCTGCTCAATGGATACATAAGGAACTTTTTATATAGTTTCCATAAGAGATCAGCCCAAACCACAAAGTTTGGATCTAAATCTGTATTTGAACTTCCCTTGATCTGATTTTTTGGTTTCAGTCCATCTTCCAATGGAGCTATTTGGGCACCAACATTAAATTCACTTTAGAGCAGAAAGAAGAACAAGACTTGAAAAAATACTCAAGAATGTAGTGATGAATAAATTAGAGATTTTAAAAGAGGTGCAGAAAACTTTCATAACCAACCCTGAAACTCAGGTCAGGTTCACTCAAAAGCTTCCAAGTACCAAAGCCTACTTGGGTTGTGGGATGATGTTGGTCAGAAATAGTTTTGTTGGAGTTGCATAGTTTAAAGGTGAAATGATGTTAGAGACCAAGAAGTCTTTGGATGAATTTTGTTCAGATCTTCATTTGACCACAGCACTCAGAGTAAGATGCAAGAGGTGCACAAATCCAAGCAAAACAAAATGGGGAGAAGTGTGTGCAAGTCCCTCTGTGGCCAAACAACTGAGTCTCACAGAGCCTTACTTACTAACACCAGAAAAGAGTGGTTTATTATGAAGATGGAGGGTTCTGTTGTGGTTATTGCCCCAATCTTGTACCACAAAAGTCATTAAGGGCTGAGCCCCCCTTAGAGCACGGAGATGTACCTTCGCAGTGATCGGATGTGTTTTGCCTGTGGTGCAGAAAGAGGAAAAATGCTTCTGAGGTGCTGGGGAAAGCTTGCCTGCAAGAGTGGCTAAGTAGATTGTGTCCCTATGTAGTGTCTAGTCCAAATTGTAGATAAGAACCTACTACTGCAACCAGCTAATGGAAATACTCCTTCAGCTCACATGGTAGAGCTCTGCTCTTTTGGTGCTAAAGATCACAGATTAAATTCCTGCTAATGAAGGATGGTGGAGGTTTTATCTCCATTGTGGAAGAGTAGCTTTAAATTACCGTAGCACCAGGTGCCTGGTACTGCTAGACACAATCATAATCTCAGCCACTCCCAGACCTGTTTTCGGCCAGGTAGCATTGCTGGCAGTGTTAACACTTCCCACACCTTCTTTCTGAAAGAGTGCAAGCAGCTGGCTTTTGGCTGCTCCCTACACAAGAGACACTCCCTGTATCCTTTCCATCCTCACTTTGTATAGCTGTGCAAGAGCCAGGAGAATATGGTCCTGAATGATCTTTTATCTGTATGGAACATTTTACAGATCATTACATTTGCATTTTTCCTGCGCTTCTAGCTACTAATGGATTCAGAGGCTGTCTCTCAAAAGACACAACACAGAAGAGGCAGCCCAGAGGGAGGTGCTTTTCCTGCTTTACCTGGGCTGCCTATGTGCTCCACTGTAGCTCAGAATCTACATGACTTGAGGGATATATTGGTACCTTAAGTAGACAGACTCTAAAGCAACTGTAGTTCTCCATTACTGTAGTATCTGAGCATCTCACAATACGTATAACACCCTGTGAGATAAGGCAATGCTATTATCCCCATTTTACAGAAGGGCACCAAGGCACGCAGAGACTAACTTGTCCAAAGTCACTCAGGAAGTCTGCAGTGAAGCAAGGACTTAACGCAGGCCTCCAGAGTCCTAGGCTAGTACCCTAACCACTGGACTATCTTTTCCACTCATAGACTCCTGATTCTATCTTTCAACAGAGAGTTTGTAAGTATTGCTGCTTATCACATAGCTTTATAAATGACAGATTTCTGTGGAGGAAACAGAACTATCCCTACATGGGTCTCCATAAAGTTTATACTTCCACATGTACAGAAGATGAGAACTGGACCCAAAGTAACTGTCTTCCTTTTACGGAAGTCTCTATATGCAGCCTGGGCAAAGAACCAGTCAATATTGATTTCTAAAATTTACTACAAAATAAAAAGGTTAATAGGGTGCTTCTAAAAAACACAAAAGACAGTCAACAAATTTGTGTAGTCTGTGATACATAGTTTAGTGATGAGTTGGTAATTTTTTTAAAAATAAAAGTAAAAACCAAAGATCTCAATTGGCAGACATTTGGACCAGTCCTTGAATGAATGGTTCCTGGTTTCCTGAAGAATGGTTTGGTTTGAAACAGCCATTGCTGGTGCTCCATACAGAATATTTATTGTTCTTTCTACTTTCCTATTCTGTCAGTTGCTGTACATGGCAATTTTTTCACATCAACTTTTATGTACACCTACAGGCTTCCCAAAGCATCCATTCCATTTGTACCTTTTTAACTCTTCAGAGTCTTTAATGTTTGTATCAGTTGTATTTTATAACTAAACAGCTCACCACTAAAACTGTCCAAAGACTCCAGTCCTCACCAAGACCAATAGATGAAAATAAAATGTGGAGTATCTAGACTAAACAGTTCTGAGCTATAAAAAGCCATAAAAAAGTTAGCAAAATTTTCCAGAAGTGCAAACACCTCATTCTTTGAACTCTCAAATTGCCAAAGAAGGCGTAAAACTTTTTTTCTTGGAAAGTGCATCAAAAGTGGCCAAATGGATTTGTCTGCAACTTTCACAAAAAATGACTTTACAATTAAGATTATGCATTAATAAAATCTTCAAATATCTTTTTCTGTTAGAAAGTTGGAGGCAAATCAAAATAGAGGTTTAGAATTAAGTTCCATCTCAGCCTTTACTTCACTCCTGCATGGCTACGACAAACCTAAAACAGGACTGACTGTATTTTTATTTTTTAAATTGCACTTCATATGCGATCCTTTAAATTAATGGGAAAAAAGAGTGACCTTTGACTGAACGGATAGTTTATGCATGAACTAAACAGCAGGTTCCCGTTTCACTTTCCCACATTCTCTTTCTCTTCATTCTCCGAAATCCAAATATAATTTGTAAAGCCTTTGGAGCCTTTCATCTCACATGTTACCCACTGGGTCCCACAAAGCCAGTACCAAACTCAAGATTTACATGTATTCTCCTCTGCCAGCAGGTAAGCATAATCCTTGTTTTATAAGCATAATGAACTATTCTTTTGTATTTCAAAATTATTTCCAGAATTCCCAGACAAAAATCGCCATAAAGGTATACTTCAGGATGTAAATAAATGTCAGTTAAACTAAAACGGCATTAGTAGAACACTAATGAAAGAAACCAATGTGAATGAAGATCAGAAAATCCATAGTTAAGGTTCTAAAAGCAAAGTAATTCTAACCAATTATTCCTGCCCATTATGCAACATAAAATAACCAAGTACCTAATTTCATGCCATAATTTTTCAAATATGTGGACTCTTCCAATCAGTAGATATTGTACAAGGCAGATGAGACTGATTAGGGGTTTTGATTCATTGAGGAATGCACACTATAATAGGTACTATAAACCAAACTGTTTATGAAGGTGTGGGAGGTTTTCTGGCTCTGAGTGGTAAATCAACTGTTGGTTAACTTATATCTATAACATTCTGATGTTTTAATTTAATAGATATTTACTCATTATATCTTTAACCCTGTCTTTACAAAAATTTGGACTAAGAATTCCTAACTCAATTTTTTAGAAAGTATTTTAAAATATTTATCCCTGGAAAACTTGCTGTAAATGTTTACATTTCTTTCTGAGAGTTTGCCAAGAATATTCGCAAGAAGATTCATGTAGTAACTGTGACTTGTGTAATTTATCCCATTTTTCTCATTGCAACACTGTTGAATAGGCCAGAGTATTTTTCAATCTTTATTCCATATTTTGAAATTTTTTTTTAAATGTCCATGATGTAAACTGTATCAAATAATGATAGGCCAAATAATTTCTTACTGTGATTGGAAGGAGAAATACTAATATAAAGAAATACTAATAGAAGAAAATTATGTATATGCTTAAGAGGGAGGAAAGGGTTGCAACTGGTAGCAGCTAGAGCTGGTTGAAAAGTGGTAAACGTGTTTGGGGAAATATTTTTTAATTTTTATTTGCTCAAAAATGTTCACAATATTTTTAAAATGTTCTGATTTTTTTCCCAAGAAAACCTGGTGATTTTTTTTTTCATTTGTTGAAACCCAAAATGAAAATGTTTCAGTTTCCCGAATTGGCTTTCCTCTTGCCTCTCCCTTCCTTTTCCCCTTCATCCCTTTACTGCAAAATGGTGTGGGCAGAAGACAAAACAAAACTCTGAAAACATTTTGGTTTTCATTTGTTGTCAAAAAAATCAGGAGGTTTATGTTTTAAAAAGGATTTTTTTTTCACAAAAATGTTTGTTTTAGAAAAAAATATTATTCTTCATCAGAAAAACATTTTAAAAATTGTTGATTACCTTTAGTAGCAGCTCAAAAGGGACACAGGTTGTGGCGTGGACCCTGAGGAGAACAACAGATACAACATGATCTCAGTGGAACATTTGCCCTGTGCACAGTGCTGGAGCCCCATATTCCTAGGCAGTTCAGATGATAACATCCTCATTCATCCTGAGCTATAGTGTCTGAGATGCTGTAGCTCCTCTGCACATTCCTACCTACCTATCTGGGAGCAGAATCCATGGATGCTGGCAGACTGTGTCTATCTGTCTGTTTGTACAGCCCTTAACAGGATGGGACCCAATACTGCTGGAGCTCGTAGGCACTGCTGCAATGCAAATGAAAATAAGTAACGACAAACCAAGTACAGAAGATTCTTTGGCTTGGAGGGAAAGTACTACAGCATGTAGAATTCCCAGACTCACTTCACCTCTTTACTGCGCTTTTCTCCCCCCTGTGCCACGCAATGGAAGGGTTTCATTTGGCCTAATATGTCTCAAAACAAAATGTTTTTGGCAATTAAGTAGCTACATCACACTTGAGACATGAAAACAGTTTTTGCAGTTCATAGTATAAAAAGAGCCTTAACCTTAAAGAACTTTGGGCCCGATTGTGACACCGTTATTCACTATAAGTATAGTACCTTATTCTTCAGGGGGATTCACTAAAAAAATTGAGAGTAAGGCACTCTTCAACCTCAAAATACCACAATCTAGCCCAGGGGTGGATAAACTTTTTGGCCTGAGGGCCACATTGGAGAATAGAAATTGTGTGGCGGGCCATGAATGCTCACAAAATTGGGGTTGGGATGCAGGAGGGGGTGAGGGGTCTGGTTGGGTGTGTGGACTCTGGGGTGGGGATGGGGATGAGAGATTTGGGGTGCAGGAGAGTGCTCTGTGCTGTGATCGAGGGGTTTAGAGTGGGGGAGTGGGATTAGGGATGCGACAGGGGGTTGGGGCATGGGGAGAGGTTCAGGGGTGTAGGGTCTGAGCAGCGCTTACCTCAAGCAGCTCCCGGAAGCAGTGGCATGTCCCTTCTCCGGCTCCTACGAATGGAGCGGCCCCCGACCCTTGGAGTGGGGCCATGCCGCAGCTGCTGGGAGCTACATGGTGTGACCCCCGACCTGGTGCCCCGGCTGGAGCGCCAGAGCCGGGTTGAGCCGCGTGGTGCAGCCCCCAATCTGGCGCCCTGGCTGGAGTGCAGGTGCGGCCCCTGACCCAGTGCCCAAGCAGGAGCTCACAGGCCGCCTTAAAACAGCTCCGGCCTGCGGGCCGTAGTTTGCCGACCCCTGATCTAGCCCTTTATGAGTAGGGTTACAGTGTTATCCTTACACTTTCAGGAATTTATGTGTCCATGGTTACAAGGGCATACATAAATCATGAAAATACTGGAAAATTAAGCAATCTAACCGCATGGGCTTGTTTCATATCCAAAATAATCCTTATTTCCCCCCCATGATTATGGCAACTCACAAAATCATGGCTATGCTAATACAAGTGTGCTGAACCTGGAGTTGCCATATGGGAGCCATCCCTGGCAAACCTAACTTGTTTCCCTATTATTTCTAAATGTCTTTAATTTACGAGGGGCCTTGGGAGCCTCATTCCCTGTTGGGAACTGAAAGGGCTGTCCCGTGAGAGTCGCCTGGTCTGATCCTTTGCGCAATTAGCAGGCTTAACTACTGACCCCCCTGCCCTCTCTTGCTTCCCTTTAGCCACCCAGGCAGCTCTCCCACAACCGCCCAGCCAAAAAATCCCCAGGGCTTAAAAATCATGGACATTTTAAAATCAGCTGGGAGGCAGGCATGGGTCCCCGAGCCAGCCTTCCCGCGAAGCAGGCTTCAGTGGCCAAGGGAAGGTGCAGCAGAGAAGAGACCGTGGCGGGGTCCTGCTCCGGGGAGGCTTCCTTTGTACGCCTCTCCAAATCCGGGCTGCCTCAGTCACGCACCGACTCTGCGCTGACGGCTCTGTCACAGGCACCCCCCTCAGCCCGGGGGGGAGGGGACCGGACCGGACCTCCAGCTCTCATGGGGACCATCCCCCGTTAGGGGCTTTGTCTTGTACCCAACTATTAATCCCAACCGGATTTTTCACACTGGCTCTCGGGCGACCCGGCTCAGCTCCCACCTCGGCCAGCCCCTGGCCAGGGAGCGCCACCAGCCCGCCTGCGGGGAGACACCCCCGGTCCCCTCAGTGGGCGCGGGAAGCAGGGGGCAGCAGCGGGCCGGCGGGGAGGGGTTTGCCGCCGCCGCCGCCGCCGCCGCTCCCGGCCCGGAGGGAGGAGGGGAAGGGCGCGCGCGGCGAGTGTAGGAATCCAGGCGGGGGCAGGGCCAGGCGCGGATGTGCCGCTCGCTGGGGGAGAGCGGAGCTGGGCACCAGCGGGAAGCCGCCTTGCGCTGCCCGGGCCCCGCGGGGAGCAGACCGTTGGCTGAGCGGTAAGGGACCCGGTGGGGCGCCACGCCGCCACCGCCCCCCTCTCCCCGCGCTCTGCCGCGCCTAGCAGCGCGGGGTGGGGGCGCCTCTCTTGGGGGCTGGGGGCTTTCGGGCCATTGCATGTGCCATTTCCAGATTGCAGGCTGCCGGGGGGGGGGGGGGGTGATGGACTTGTCCTCTTGCAGTCCCTGGAGTTTCCTGCGGGAGGATCGGTCCTGGTTCAAAGCGGACAACCCCCCCCTCCGCCCCGCGTTGTCCTAATGCCACGAGCCCAGGAGCCGAATTGCAGCTTCTTTCACCCCTTTCGAGAGGTGTCTCTGATAGCCGCCAGGTGTGCAACATCGACAGCGGTGGGGCCCGATCTGATCCTCCTGGCCCGCCCCAAGCTGCCCTCAGCGGGTGCCCCAGGAAGGCAGGATCGGGCCCCTCCTGCTAGCTAGGCAGCCGCGGCTGAGCCCGTTGTGCTGGCGGTGGCCGATATTCCCCCGCCAAAGCCAGCGTTCGCCTGGTCCGGAGCGCTGCAAACACGAGCAGGGGGAATGCGATTGTCACAGCCCGCATCGCTCGCCCCCCCTGCCTGCACCCCCGCTGGTTAGAGCCCTGAAGTTGCCTGGCCCTGTACAGCTCTGTCCAGTAACAGCCCTGGTCAGAAATGAGCAGCAGCAGACCACAAAAAAAAAAAAAAAAAAAAAAAAAAATGATAAAGTCAGATCATTTCCAACCTGCAGCTGTGTGTCGACATCTACCAGGGCAGCAAAATATGCTGAGCGAGCCCTAAATTTTTCATGAAATGTTGCATTACAGTGTGGGTGAACTGTGAAAGATTACACTGTGATTACCAGGCAGGGGTGAGCGCTAATGTTCTGAAGTTGCGGTTTCCACATAAATTCAGAGATTTGAGGAATGATTTCACCTGTACCGAGAACGAAGCAACAAGGTGGTTTATATTCAGTGTTTTTCTTATAGTGCATGAAAAATTGAAATAATTGGGTTTATTTTGAGATCCTCTGATATACAATTACAACTGGCAATAGTCTTGTATTCTTTATCATACTTCCTTTGTGGAGGAGCTGCGCATTAACAGTGAAAGACTTTTTTTCTTCCACCCCCACCCCCCCCCCCCCGCACCCCAGCTGTTGATTGCTTGTGCTACTGGATTTCTTTTCTTTTAGTGGTCTAAGATCTCACAGAAAACACAGCACCCTCATTTTAGGTCACACTTCCCTGGGTTTGTTTGGGTGATAAATATTTTGATTTTGAAAATGTGTAGAAGTGTTATTCAACTTCAAAAAACCTAACAATCTTTCTTGGGAAGTTCCTCCCCCAAATTACCAGTTATGTTATAAAGTGCTATTTTCCTTTTTTCTGAGGGGCTCTTATCTCAGAATAACTGAAGCATCCATGAAATATTCAGCAAAGGTGATTATCAAGGGAAGGCTCCTAAACAAAAATAGACAAGAACGCACCATACCAACTATCAATCTTATCAGATTAAAGTGTGCACCAGGCATGGAACATGAACACATGGAATGGTAGTTAATACCCCTAACAAAGGTCTCACTTTTGCAGTGAGCTCTGTTTGGGCAGATATCTGTGCCTATGCCCCTCTGACTTCTCAGGTGAGTTGTCCGATTAAAGGGAATGTGGGACTAGTCACATTAATAGGGACAACAATCATTCATGTGTGAATGATTTCTACAATACCTGGAAAAGGCTGCATCCTGTAAGGTGCTCAATGCTTCCTTCCTCAATGCTTGTAGGCTCAAGTCCCTGAGAAATGCCAGTATCTGTTTTAATAAGAGACCCAAAGATACTAATCAGAATGAGGGCCCTATTGTGCTAAACACTGTACAGATACATATGAAGACATGGTCTCTGCCCTGAGGAGTTTACTCTCTAAGAGGTCAAGTGACAATGGCATGTAGCTGATCTGCGACTGCTAGCAACAAATATCTCCAACAACCAGTGGTGGGACACTAAATGGGGAAGGCTCTTCGTTACTACAGGAAATTCTTTCCCAGGTGTCTGGCTGATGGGTCTTGCCCACATGCTCGGGGTTTAACTGGTTGCCATGTTTGGGGGTCAGGAGGGAGTTTTCCCCCAGGTCGGATTAGCAGGGACCCTGGGGTTTTTCACCTTCCTCTGCAGAATGGGATATGGGTCACTTGCAGGTTTAAACTAGTGTAAATGGTGGATTCTCTGTAACTTGAAGTCTTTAAATCATAATTTGAGGACTTCAGTAACTCAGCCAGAGGTTATGGGTCAATTATAGTAGTGGGTGGGTGAGGTTCTGTGGCCTGCAGTGTGCAGGAGGTCAAACTAGATGGTCATGATGGTCCCTTCTGTCCTTAAGTTCTATGAGACATATAAAGGGTGAGGGAAAGGATTACAATTCACAGTCTATTATGGTTAACCTTATTTGTGGAGGCAGGTCTTGAGTCCTTATCCTTCTGAAATGCCCTCTGAAATCCATGGGGCCCTTAGAAGAAGCACATGCCTAAGGTTATTGTTTTACTCAATGAGCCGAGAGATGACTCCAACCAAACCTCCACATATTCAAACACTGAATTTTGAGAGAAGTTTCAGTCTGGATCCAAACTTCTTACCTGGTCCCTATCTCTAAAAGGGGTTGAAGCAAAATACTAGATCCAAACGCTCACTCTGAACTTTAGGAAACATCACATCCAGAACTGGTATTTGTAGTTTGGGCATGTCTTTAAAAGAAAGTACAACAAGATTCCTTGTGGCAGGAAATGTGTGTTACATTGTTTCAACAAGTTCTTTTCTTTTCAGTGCTGGAAATACAAAGGCCAGTTAATTTATGTCCCTGTTTAGTATTAATTTGCAAGATTATGTTGTGTTCAGGTTTATACACATTCATTGCCACTGTTTTCATTCTGGGGACTGTCTCTCACTATTTAGTTGTACAGTTCCTAACACAAAGGGATCCTGATCTTGGTTGTGGCCTCTTGGGTACTACTGTAATACAAAATACATACACAAATAATATGCATGCAGAATTAAAAAATAGCCAACATCTTTTGCAGAACAACCCAGCCTAATCCCCTAAATAATCATGTGTTATCTGGGACAGAGGTGTCAAACTCATTTGGAGAAAAGAGCTGAATTCCACTTCTAGTTATGGCCTGTTGGCCAGAGGATAAATTTAGGACCCTGTACAACCCCTTCCATCCAGAGGAGAATGCCCACTGTCAATGGGAGGTTTGCACAAAGATGAAGGAAAAAATCTGGCGTTTATGTAGTAACATGTGGTTACTATTATTTATTAAGGGCTTTATTGTCAGTATCAGTGGGAAAATATGCTCCCTCCCTTTGACCCATGGGTATTTCTTCCCTTTGATTTTCTTCCTTCCCCATCCTGTTTTCTCTGAATCTCTTATTTGTCCTTGTGTCTCTCTGTTCTTCCTTTTGCATTTCCTTCCCTGCACAGAAATTCTCAGTTACCACCCAGATGGGCTTCCACGTGCAGCTTCCCATTCCATCAGCTAAAATGATCAGATGTCCAGTAGTTAATGTTGACAATAAAATGTGATCATTTTAGGTAACACTTAAATGACATTAAAAGGGGACAGAGGAGTTTACACCTTTCTGAGACATTGTTTGGGGCTGGCTGCAGTCTCAGAGGACAACGTGGCATTGGTTTATCTTTACTTTGCATTTGGAAGCTTTTCTTCACAGCCATGAAGTCTAGAAACTCACTTTTTTAAATGAAAGTTGAGATTCTGCACAATTTGAATATGTCAGATGGGACACAGGGAGGCCAGACCTAGCACACAGACCAGATGTTTGGCTCGGCTGGTGAAGGACTTCCATCTCTAGTACATGTTTGAAAGCAACATTTTGTAGCAATTTTTTGTCAAAGAATTTGGCCCTGATATGTATCTTGTGTAATACTCTAAGAGCCAGAGCCTTGACTGGAATGAATTGACATAGCAGTCAATGGAGCTATGTTGATTTGCGCTGGCTGAGGATCTGGCCTCTTGATTATACACCAAAACCTCCAGGAGGACTTTTGGGAGAACAAGGAATGCAGGATCTAGTATGCTGTAGAAGCAATAGAGTATAAATTGACGTTTTTGGACTGTTTTGGTTAACAGCATGTGAGAGAAACAGAGGGGTGAGGAGGGCAAGTCAGACAGCAGTAACTTTACTTTGAGAAGGAAAGTGCAGTGATTCCCAGTAATTCCTAGATATGGATTAGGATAAATCTGTTAGTGCTTAAGAGTCTGCACTGGCTTTTTTTTCTGGAAGTTCTGCAATGCAAAGCTTGTTCAGAATCTCTGATGAACTATTCTGTACAACTCCCAGTTTATTTTGTAGTCTGAGAACCAAAAGTATAATTGGGAAAATAAATAAAAAAAAATAAGACATTTTCCTGTTTATCAACAGAAAAAATCAGCCAGCATAAATTGGCCCTTTTTGAGAGAGACTTTGAAAACAGAGACTTTAAGATTTGTTCAGGATCACACACTGATTATTCAATATGAAATTTGACTTTCTGATGAAGGAGACACCTTATGTTATGTGGATGAAGGCAATTGCACAGAATTACTAAAGTGATTACTAGGCACCAGTTACAATGTTTAAGTTATCATTCATATGTAACTGTGCTTTTCTTGGGTTTTGAACTGGGAAAAATCCTCTAATGATTTTTTTCTTAGACAAGGCAAATAGTGCTGCAGTCCCTAATTAGCATTTTGGAATAAAATCAAGACTCTCATCATTTGTTTTAATCTCTTCTGTAGAAGAACAACAATAATAGAAAAT